GCCATCGCGTCGAAAACGACAGAAAAAAATGGCATTCCTTCGCAAAGAAGACAAAAAAAAAAAAAAAAAAAAAAAAAAAAAAAAAAAAAAAAAAATCAAAAATATTTAAATAAAAAATGCGTAGATGGGGGGGGGGGGGGGGGGGGGGGGGGGGGGGGGGGGGGGGGGGGGGGGGGGGGGGGGGGGGGGGGGGGGGGGTTCTTTTCTCCCCTCCTCCCTCCCTCGCGTACGTCGACTACAATAGTAGTTTCCTATTATTGTTATTGTTATTATTATTATTACAATCCTCGCGGCAGCTCGCAGCAGCAAGCGAGGGAACAAAAACAAAAAAAAAAAAAAGGCTCCCTTTCTTTTTTTTGCTGGCCAGTTCATTCATCATCATCATTCACTCATTTCATTGCTGCAGCGGATTCTGTACCCGCCACCAAACCGCTCGTCATCGGATTCTATACGACTATTCGAACGCGTATGCGTTCGAATATATAGAGGTTTTTTTTTTTTTTTTTTTTTTGTTTTTTTTTTTTTTTTTTTTTTTTTTTTTTTTTTTTTTTTTTTTTTTGCGTGTGTGTTTTACAACCCTAGGACGACCAACGACCCCTCAATCGTTCGACAAATAAAGCGTTGAAGAAGCAGAGCACAAAATAGGGAAAAAAAAATAATAAAAAAAAAAGAAGCTGAGCACATAGACCTGCCACATTAGCTGTACACGGAGTGTACACAAGCTACCCGGCCCACGTGGCCCACGTGGCTGACTGCGGCTGATCACTGGTTTACGCATGCAACTAAGTAGCGGCAATAAACAGATCATGAGTTTGAATCCGGATTACGGATCAGAGACGAAGGAAATAATGTCAGCGGCTACTTCCGTTCGCTTAAAACCCTAAACCAGAACCTCGTACAGCACTCGGCCAAAAAACCCTCGTACACAGCGGGGATAACGACTCGGCGGCACGGGCTCGTCAAACCAGTAGCCGCACTTTTTTTTTTTTTTTTTTTTTTTTAAGCAGCCGCACTTACAGTAAGTCTCAACTCGTATATATATTGTCACATGATATCAGAGCGCCAAAGCGAAAAAACAGAAACAAGAAAAAAAATTAATTAATTTGTAATCTTCGTATATATATATATAGTCACAAAAATATCAGAGCGGAAAAGGCGAAAAAGACAGAAGGAAAGCAAGAAAAAAGTCAATTCGTATATATATATATCATATAGTCACAAAAATATCAGAGCGGAAAAGGCGAAAAGGACAGAAGGAAAGCAAGAAAAAGTCAATTCGTATATATATTGTGACGATCACAAACAGAACTGCCCGGTAAACCGTAGGCAGAGAGAGAAGAAGACAACAAACGAGGGGCTGTGACGATATATATATCGTCACAAACAGAACTGCCCGGTAAACCGTAGGCAGAGAGAGAGAAGTATAAAGTCAAACAGAGCTGCCCGGTAAACCGTAGGCAGAGAGGGAGAAGAGGACAACAAACGAGGGAGGGGCTGTAACAGAAACTGTTTCGTCGGAGGTTCACCGACTCATCAGGAGGCTGGACCCTATATATACATACACGACAAAAGATGCATGCAAGAAAATTTCGTCCACAAGGATGCGTTCTCTCATGTTAAAAACAACGCAGGTTTGTTCGGGCACTGGGCCTCGATCACACAGCACACTCTACATGCATTTGGACGCACACCGGACTCGACAAGTTCAAAACGTTGGACTCGTCCTAATGCACCTGGTTCAAAACTCGTCCAGATGCATGTAGACTGCTGTAGTGGAGCAAGGCTCAATATCTCACCTGGTATACACACTTCCACGTGCGCAGCAAAACCTTTTTCGGTACCATGAAACTCTGACAGAGCACAAGCAGCTTTCACACTCTTGTGTGTAAATTCAGGCGCAAAAAGTCCACTTGCGGCTGCAGCCGCTGCTATGT